CTATTTGGGAGGTGGAGGCAAGAGAATCACTTGAACCCAGGAGTTGGAGGTTGCTGTGAGCTGTGATGCCACAGCACCCTACCCAGGGTGACAGCTTGAGGCTCTGACTCCAAAAAAAACAACCTACAAACAGGCTCAGCACCTATAGCTCAAGCGGCTAGGGCACCAGCCACATACACCAGAGCAGGTGGGTTCGAATCCAGCCTAGGCTTGCCAAACAATGACAACTACAACCAAAAAAATAGCGGGACACTATGTTGGGCGCCTGTAGTCCCAACTACTTGGGAGGCTGAGGCAAGAGAATCGCTTAAGCCCAAGAGTTGGAGGTTGCTGTGAGCTCTGATGCCACAGCACTCTATCCAGAGCAACAGCTTGAGACTCTGTCTCAAAAAAATAAAAAAAACCTTACAACCATAGTAAAGTTATAGAGCTGTCTTTGAGAGAAACACATTTTGATTGATTAAATATGTCAAACTTCAGAGAACTTCAATTTTTCTTCTATAATCATGCAACTGGCATTAGTGTGAGTCAAAATCAAGAGTATAAACCTAAGTCCTAGGTAATAAAGAAATGACATAAATTAGAATTAACCTGTTATTTCTATGTTATACATATAGATTTAAATTAAAAAAACACACAGAAAACCAACACTTTTTAAAAAAGATTTAAGATCATAAATAGGTCATTATTGTCACAACACATTTCAGAATTTTAAAAAAAACAAACATTTTGGCTTTTTAAGAGTACTTTTTAAAAAAATCAGTTTCCTCATCATTGAAAGGACTTACACATTTTTAAACTTCCAGTCTCCTAAGGCACAATATTTATTTAATCAGAATGCCAACATCACCACCCCACCCTGCTGTAGCAGGAATAAGAGGCAAGGTATTAGCACTAAGAAAAAGAGCAAAATTTCTGGACAAAATTATTAGTCATTTAATAAAATGGAGAAAGAAACAGATTAAATGATGAGTGTTTTGGTTAAGAAGGCCCAGTAATGTTATACAGGACTTCATAAAAACTTTTTTTTTAAATCAAAGTACTTTAACTCAAACAGGTTAAATTCACCACAGCGGAGCTATGATAGAATGGAGAGGGATTGAAAAAAAAATCAAGTTAGAATACTGTATGGAATAGAAAACACTGTATGGAACCCAGATTAGAGTCCTAGATTATCAGGCAGATCCAGAAAATAAACAGTAAGGCTAGGTAAACTTAACACCCAGATATATACTGTAAGGTAGGTGTTTCCTATCACATGGCCCACTCTAGCCTACCATCCAACTGAGATGTAGTGAAATTATATTTTTTATCCAACCAAAAAGTTCTTTAAAATATAACACAAAATTAAAAGTTCCTCATTTTAAACTCTGCCTTGTTTATGTGATACTAATTGAACTTTAAGGTTTTATATATAGTATAATGTGGTGATTCAGTGTTACTTTTAACAGGAAAAAACCCACAAAGTGATTGTTCACAGATGAAATATGGGATGAGGTTCATGATTGAATCAATCATGGAGTGTTAGTCAATTGTAAACTCTTGGAAGTTAAGACTAGGAAATCTGTGTATCAGACACATCAGAGCACACCAATGGAAGAGGAAGGGAGGCCTGTTTGTCATTCCAATTCTGACAAGGTGCATGGTCTTCGAAATTCTTGTCCACGTTCATGGAGCCATTTATTGGACACTATGAGAGAAGAAAATATGTATTAATTCCCCTCATCTAATTAGTATTTAATGAGCTTCTAAAAGTTTCAACATGGGCTAAAAGTTCAAAACCAAAACCAGATAAAGGCAAATGCTACTCAAAAATGTAACTAAATGTTTTTGTCAACATTTGTACTTATGTGTGTTTACATATATACACATGTGTATATATATTTAAAAGTCCATGTATACTTCCTAAAGTTCCTAATGTTCAATGTGAGGCTTGAAATGAGACACAAATAGAATTAAGATATAGGCACACATACAGGAGAACATTGTTTTTATCTATTTTCGAATTACAATTCCCAAAATACAAAGATATTTTAATAATGGATACAAACTCACCACCTCTCCACTCTAATGGAGCAACTTTATGATAAATCATGCTACTATATGCTCATTAAATTTTTAAGATTCTTTGAAAAAATGTATCCCTTTCAAAAATGTACCCCAGGCCAGGAATGGTGCCTCACACTTTAACCCTAGCATGCTGAGAGATTGAGGCAGGTGGACTGCTTAAACTCATGAGTACAAAACCAGGTGAAGCAAAAGTGAGACACTTTTTCTACTAAAAATGAAAAACTGAGGCAAGAGGATCACTTGAGCCCAAGAGTTTAAGGTTGCTTTCAGCTATGACGCCATGGCACCCTACCCAGGTTGACAAAGTGAGACTCTTGTTACACACACACACACACACACACAAAATCCCCAAGGAAATACAGTCTTGCCAGGCGTGGTGGCTCATGCCTGTAATCCGAGCATTCTGAAGGCCGAGGCAGGTAGACTGCCTGAACTCACAGGTTCAAGACCAGCCTAAGCCAGAGCAAGACTCAAAAAATAGCTGGGGCTCCACGCCCATAGATCAGTGGTTACAGCACCAGCCACAAAAACCAAGGGTGGTGGGTTCAAACCTGGCCCGGGCCAGCTAAGCAACTGCAACAAAAAAATAGCTGGGCGTTGTGGCAGGTGCCTGTAGTCCCAGCTACTTGGGAGGCTGAGGCAAGAGAACTGCTTAAGCCCAAGAGTTTGAGGTTGCTGTGAGCTGTGATGCACTCTACTAAGGGTGATATGGTCAAACTCTGTCTCAAAAAAATAAATTAAATAAATACAAAAATAGTCAGGCATTGTCGCGGGCACCTGTAGTCCCAGCTACCTGGGAGGTTGAGACAAGAGAATCACTTGAGCCCAAGAATCTGAGGTTGCTGTGAGCTATGATGCCACAGCACTTTATTGAGGGTAAAAAAGTGAGACTCTGTCACAGATTGTTAACCCTCAGAGCAGAAGACAATTGTCTTACTCACTTCTGAGTCCATGTTTCTTAGTAAGTGGCAATAGAGTTAGAAATAAAATCTGTCATCAAAATTCTAATCTGTTAAATGCAAACTTATATTAAAACCAAGTGCTTGGGCAGGGCATGGTGGCTCACGCCTGTTGTCCCAGCGCTGTGGGAGGCCGAAGTGGGTGGATCACCTGAGCTCAGAGGAGTTCGAGACTAGCAGAAGACCAGCATGAGACAGAGAGAGACCCCGTCTCTCTAAAAAACAAGCTGGATGTGTGGCAAACACCTATAATCCCAGCTACTTGGGGGGGTGGGGGGTGGGCAGAAGGGCAAGAGAACCGCTAAAAAAAACAAATTAAAAAAAAACCAAAAACTCCAAACTATGATAAAGTGAAAGCCAGCTGAAATTGAAAGAAAAAATTTAAAAAAAAAATAACAACAACAACAATAACAAAAAAAACAAGCGCTTGGTTGAATTGTATACAATGTTGAAGTCATATTATGCAAATCTGGGGGAGGGTGTTTTAAGATGTAGATTATAATAGTTTCAAAATGAGACAAAAATCACGAATCTACTCATATAATACAAGAAATATTTACCCCATTTGTTTCCAACTAGCACTGGACAGGCTGCATGCCGTGTACTATAATCTCCTTCTCCACTGGCAAACAGATTATACCAGAAAACAGCAGTTCCCTATGGAAAACAATTCAAAATTATGCCCAAATAAAATGTTAGATTATTGTTTTCTGCAGTACTTAAATTTTCTTCTGTTCCTGCTGAAGGACCCATATTGTATTCCTCTAATATAATTTTTAAAATATGATATTTATGTATCACTTTAAAAACTTTTCTTGATCATGTGGAAAAGTTAATACCACAAAATTGCTTGACCAAAAAAGAGTATCTGCCAATATAAAGCTAACTAATTAAATTTTGTAATATCCAGATGAGGGGGCAAACATCCATTTTAGAAATGTAAACTTTTAAATACGTTTAGTCCCTGCTTGTTGTTGCTTACCTCTAGGTACTCAAGGTAAATTGTGCCATAAAAATACCCAAAATTTTACTGAGAGATAATTTAGTCCTTACAAATAGTACCTTTAAAGATATAACTAATTAGACCATGAAATACAAGTATTATCTCTTCCTCAGGAGAAAAATTAAAAAAAATAAAAACAATAAAAACAAGAAGTCAAACTTACTTTTTTGGGCCAAACACTAGCCCCTACTTCAGGAAAAACAGTGGCTCCTCCTGCAGATACATCACTCATCTATAAGACACAAGAGAATATTAGTCAAAAATGCTGGTAGAATAAAATAAAACATGCCACTAAGAAGAGGATTTGATATTAAATATTGGGAATATAAGGACTTGTCTTTACATAGCAGAGTTTGTGCATATTACTTAATTTATAGCCAGAAGGAAAAAGAAATGACCTAAAACTGATAAATCAATACAGAGGTACAAAACCATGGATAAGCAATTCCGTGGTATTAACTTTTCACATGATCTTATTATACTAGAATGTAATCTCCATGGAGGCAGAAATTTTCATGTTTTGTTCACCGCTAACCATTAATGTCTAGAACAGTACCCCAAGAACAGTAGGTGCTCACTAAGTATTTATTTAATGTAAAGAAAAGAAACACGGCTTGGCGCCTGTAGCTC